ACACGCAGCTGCAAATACTCTGTTTTCTACAGATGTACGGATACGCCGTGGCGTACAAGTGTATGGATATGGATACCACAGAGCAGAGCCGTCAGTCTTGCGTGATAACGCAGAGGCGCACCAAACACGCCAATCCTCTAGCACCGGGGCCGAGAAACACCACTACGGTCACCACGCTCCAAGCAAGGAACCGGCGACGAGTCGACTACGGGCCCGTGGAGCCTCCCGGTCTGCTCGTTGCCGTTTCTGTTGCTGTGTTTTCCTGGGATCTGCTTTCCTCCGCTCGATTCTCAGCTGTAGCTTCTCCAGTTCTTTCTCCCTTCTCCGTCTTGTGTTTTTCGCCATTCATTACGTCCCGTCTCTCCGCTCCTTCCGCCTGCTTTCCAAGCTTCTCGACTCCATTGATCATCCCCTCCTCGCCCTCCTCCTCTTCCTTGACCTCCTCCCACCCTCCAAACCAACTTCAACTAGCTTTCCAACTTCCTCACATAATGGCGCCTACTTTCCACGAGTGCTACCGCCGTGAGGTCCACTGATGACACTACCCCACGATAACGACAACACTATTCATCCATCGATATCTGGATACTTGACTCGATATACCCAGAAAACCTGCATCTTCACCAGCAGCTCTAATCCATCCAGTCACGACTATCTTGTATAGAGGCTCTTGTACCACCACCTGCGATATCTTCAAACTCAATTGAGGACAATCGAGCTGAATCAACCAACAGCCTGGAAACGGCGATCGTTTCCTCTTTAGACAACATGTCAGGCTCGCCTCAAGAGTCCGGCCAGACGAGCTCCGGCTCCAGCAACACACCGCCGAATCCTTTCGAGAATCCAGCACAGGAACAGCCCAAGCTTCGAACTCCGCCATTGCTTCACCCTTCGTCGGCAACACCGCAGGCTCGAAAAGAGAAGAAGGAGAAGAAGAAGGTTGGCTTCCATGCCGACAGCCCTCAGCCTAGCCAGACACCCCTGGTAGACAATCGGCCACCAAGCATCGTGATTGACGATGACTACTTCGCGCAGTCAATGTCCCCCGAAGTTAACCCCTTTGATACACCTGGACGCATTGCTACTCCAAGACGAGACAACGACGCAACCCCAGCGGGAGCTCCAGATGCCGGTGAGCTACGTCGTGCTTTAACCCAGGTCTTGATTTCGGAGAACCAGGAGAACAATCCTTCCGAGACACCTGCCCGGCCCCGGCCCGTGCTCCGCCGTAACACCAGCTACGATGCACCCGAGGAAAGACAGAAAGCCGACCTCGCTGAGCAAACTGCCGGCGAGCGGCAGCAGCGTTCGGGTTTGGAGGCCCGCCAGCGTGCCAATCGCTTGGCTGTAAGTGTTGAGAACTACTCCTCACCCCCTTCCCGTCGCAACTCCATCGACGGATACAACCCATTTAGCGATGATGAGGAAACCGATCACGTCACCGGCTTGAGCTCTGCGGTTGATGGGTCGGATGAGCGACGAAAGGTCCGGTCCCGTCCCAGAAAGAACTCGCACTTGGATGCCGAGAATCTCGTCCGATCTCACACCAGGAGAGCCAAGAAGGGTGGCCGAGGACCGAATGACTACTTCAAGTACGAGGCGCCTGCAGGTGCCCGATCTGGCACCGCCACGCCCACTTTGGAGCAGTCTTACGCTCACGACTATGTTCCGCCCCCGAAGCAGTATCACGGAGGCATTCTATCATCGCTCCTCAAGCTCTACAACGAGAATGGCAGCGGCGGTAGCAGTGGCCGAAACACGCCGGGTTCCAACACACCAGCTACAGCTACGCCCAATCACTCGCCTCCGGGCTCTATGCCAGCCTCCGCTGCGCCCTCAACCCCTGGATCACCTCGGCCTTCTCGCCCCAACAGTGGCCTGTTCAACTACCACAAGAAGCAAGGCTCTCGTTCCTCCATGGCTCTGGCTGAGCTTATGAAGTCGTCGTCCGCCATGGCAGGGCCGGCTTCGAGTGTGTTTAGCCAGGGCTTCACCGAGAAGCTCAAGACGGAGCCCCCGTCACGGCCGAAGAGGAAGAAGTCTGGAGTCTGGGGCGGATCTTCACCAAAGTCATCAAAGTCTGAAGACAAGCACCGCATTACTAAGCACATTGCTCAGATCTTGTCGAGGCATAAGTATCTCGTCAAGCTGTGCAGGGCGCTGATGATGTACGGAGCTCCAACCCACAGACTGGAGGAATACATGAAGATGTCGGCACGAGTCCTCGAGATCGAGGGTCAGTTCCTCTACATTCCCGGCTGTATGATTATCAGTTTCGACGACAGCGCGACACACACCACCGAGGTCAAGATCGTCCGCTCGGCACACGGTGTCGATCTGGGCAAGCTGCGCGACGTGCACGACATCTATAAGCAGGTTGTCCACGATTTGATCAGCGCCGATGAGGCTACCATCATGTTGGAGAGCATCACAGCTCGCAAGCTCAAGTTCGGCAATTGGATGCGCGTGCCCGTCTATGGCCTCGCCAGTGTGTGTGTCGCCCCCTTCGCCTTTCAGGGACGCTTCATCGACTTGCCCATCGCTTTCATTCTTGGTTGCATCCTGGGCTGGATGCAATTGATCCTTGCCCCGAGCAACGAGCTGTATGCGAACGTCTTTGAAATTACCGCCTCCATCGTCACCTCCTTCTTGGCCCGCGCCTTCGGCTCCATCAACAACGGCGAATTATTTTGCTTCTCCGCACTGGCGCAGAGCTCCATTGCCCTCATTCTTCCAGGTTACATGGTCCTCTGTAGCAGTTTGGAGTTGCAAAGCCACAACTTGGTCGCCGGCAGTGTTCGCATGGTTTATGCAATGATCTACACGCTCTTCCTCGGATACGGAACTACGATTGGCACTGCGCTCTACGGCATGATCGACCGCCACGCAGAGTCGAGAACGACCTGCACCAACCCGCTTAATAGGAATTGGTACCTGTTGTTTGTGCCGGGCTTCACCCTCTGCCTCTGTATTATCAATCAGGCCAAGTGGAAGCAGACACCTGTCATGATCACCATCTCACTCGCCGGCTTCCTCGTTAACAGCTACTCGTCTGACTTCTTTGTCGGCAACGCTCAGATCTCGAACATGCTTGGCGCCCTTACCGTGGGATTGCTAGCTAACCTCTACTCCCGCCTTGGCCGCCATGCTCACAACTATTTCCTCGACTTCCTCGACTGGTGGGATCTTCGCATGGCCCCGCGCTTCGTTAGCGCTAGCCGCCGTCGCAACGAGCGTCCTCGTCCGGAAATGTACCAAATGTCTGGCCAAACCGCTGGAGCTGCCGGTCCCACTGGCGTCCATACCCCCGGAGAGAACACTCCCGAAGGATCGGCGCCAGCAACACCCACCACCACGACCTTCTCTGAGAAGGACAAGGCCCAAGGTGTCGTCCCGGAGCGGAAGCGCACCGTCGGATATGGACTCGCCGCCGCCGCTATGCTTCCAGCTATATTTGTGCAGGTCCCTAGTGGTCTCGCGGCTGGCGGGTCATTGTTGGCAGGTGTCACGTCGGCTGATCAGATCACAAACAATAACGGTACTTCGACATCAACCGACAGTTCAGACCTTAACAACTCGGCCTTTGCGGTTCTTCTTAGCGTTATTCAGGTCGCTATTGGCATCACCGTTGGGTTATTTATGAGCGCCCTCATGGTTTACCCTCTGGGTAAGAGAAGAAGTGGCCTACTCAGCTTCTAGTTAGTGCGATTTCACACGGTTATACCGGCATGGTTTTGGCTTTCGCCACTCTTTGGGAAGCCCTTCAACATTCCGAGGTGGAAGCACGAGCCGGATGTGGAGTTGGGGTTCGCGGCAGAGAGCTGGGCACAAGAGGAGGATTCGTTGGCGTTTAAGAAGGCGTATAGAAGGGCAAGCATATGAAATAGCACTGTGGCGTTTGTCGGTAGCGTTCGTTTGGATTTGGTTGGATTCACTTTGTTCTTTCAAGCATTGGCCACGGAGTAACAGTACAAGACGTCGGATCTTGGCGGTGACAAATACAGCACTAGACAATATGAAGACTATAGACGTAGAGATAGAACAACTGGATTCGAGCTCAGCTCTCCATACTTTATGTTTCATCCTTTTGCTCTTTCTGACTTGCCTTTGTCACAAGTTCGATGTTGTACACCTCCCTTGTGTTTCAATGCCGCTACCACAGGCAGTTGTAAGAATATTGGCGAGGGCAAGCGACGCTATCAATTTCGATTACGGTGACTTCTAATGCTCCCATGACGCGTAGGGTGGGGAGGTTCATAGGCAGAATCCGGACCAGCTGTTGTTGAACCTTTCTTCTTTATTCGGACTTAACACCATGTCACGATCATTACCAACCTCTTCGGCCTCGATGCCGAAGGAAATGCATTTATCGTTTGCTGATGCCATGGAACCAACTCCCACCATACTCAACTCCGATGGCGATGATGCCCCAGCAAGGTCCTCGATGAGCAAGTTGGGGCTCAAACTTTGCTGATAAAGAGAAGAAGATGGTGATTTACCCTCATAAAGTTATACGATAGTTGGTCTGGTGGTGTACCCTAGGAAACGGTGTTGTACCTTGACGGCATGTAGGAGGCTATATAATTCGGAGCATCTCCACCAAATTGTTTGATTAATCTGGGAGAAAAACCACTCACTCCTGTCTGGTACAACCCACTAGTCTTCGGTTCACTCTCTACGTTCAGAGGCTCTCTAGAGTTCTGCACAATACCACTTCACCACATTACCGAACCATCAGAGCTTGATACTTTATCAGACAGAGTCGGTCCAGCTGTTCTACAACTTACATGCTGTCACTCTTACAATTCACAAAAAACACCAACTACACCTCATCACACTTCCTGGTTAGAAGTTCACAGGCTTCTCGGCCAATCCTATCTACCTCTACCAATACTCCTCAGCCTCAGCAAACCTGGTCAGGACTACAGAGTCTTCTTCCCAGTTTCACCCACCTCATCTCACCAAGCCCATCGCCCTCACCAAACAAACAAACATCCACAATGCTCCGCATCTTCAACCACATGGTCCCCTACCCCCGGCCCAAGGGCTTCCTCGTCCCAGACCCGGAAGTCTACAAAGGCCTGGACGCAATCCAACAGCATGGCACCGCCACGTCAGACCTCGCCCAGCGCACAGGACGCGTCCGCTGCCTCGCCATTACGCAGCAGGATAAACTCCGCGAAGAGCTAGCCTACCTCAAAGAATGCCAGCTCCACGACCACGCGCGCATGGACGAGGATTACGGAATGAGGATGCAGGGCTGCAATATGCAGTTCCGGCCTGGTGGACTCGGTTCTGGTGCTGCGGATATGTACCCGAGGAAGATGTCGAATAATGACATCTTGATGGCGAAAAGGATTGAGAAGTGCTATCGGAGGCGGATGAAGGAGTTGAAGGAGGAGAAGAGGAAGAATGCGATTTGGTTGGATTTGTGGTATGATCAGCAGGTTGTTAAGGTTGATCGCCTGTTGAGGAAGGAGTGGGATCAGAGTGGGGAGTGTGAGGGATATCCGTATTGGGCGGCGGAGAGGCGCGAGGTGAAGCGCAAGATGAAGCGCAAGGTGAAGCGTTCTGCGAAGTAAGACTTCAAGGGGATGCGTGGGTACATTCCCTTACGACATATCACGACCGGCGTACGTTCATGAGAATGTGATTGGGTACTGGATACGTTGAGTCGGGTTTGCTTTTTGAGTACATACTACACTACAACTGCACTACTGATGCTCATCGAGAGACCGGGACGTACATGTCATTAGGCATGGCCTGTGTTGCAAACATTACGCACACAGGAAAATGCAAGACATTCATAATTATACAAACCACGATTGCCCCTCATAACTATTCTGAAATCACTCGCTGCACTTCTGTTCAAGTTTGCAACTTCCTCTGTTAAGTGATGAGACGAGCGGGCCATCTGGGGTCACATAGCAAGTTTGAGACAGTCGTGGCATAGCATAAACCCAAGGCATTGCTGATTTTACCATCTTCCTAACGAGATTCACCCGGCTCCGAGCAATTCGCCACTTTTCTTAAATCTTTCTTCCTGAAATCACCAGGGATGGCTGAGATATGCTACCGCACCCTGCTTTCAGATGAAACCGCAACTCCTTTTCAGCGAACAGCCTCCCAAGACAGATCAGGTCGATACCACACAGACTCTGAGGCTTACAAAGGATGCACGCGTTTATGTTTTGATCCCAATCACGGGGGTTGAACACACTCGCGGAGTAAACTAGATTGATGTTGGGAAGTTGTACTGACGATGGAGGAGGTATGGAGCGGACTGAAATCAGTCCATTGCAGATAGTACGCGTCACGTCCAGTGAGAATGGCTTCTTCAAGTCCCTGCTGCTGGACTTCTACGGTAGGAAGGTAAACCGGGTTTATCATTTTCGGTATTGGTAGAGAGAAAATTACTCAATGCTCCCTTTAGGGCGGCTAATTATTCCGTGTGCTCGATGATGGGCTTCTAGTTTGCCATTTCCAGTCTATATCGTTGTTGAAAACCGATACTGCTAGGAGTCAGAATCGTTTATATGCAGGCGACATCTACACCAACCAATTTTGAGGGAGCCCCAAGAACTACCAAGGAGTATACCTTAGGTTCGACAGAGAATCATCGTTAATTTTGAGGAATGTCATCGACATCTCGACGATCTTGACTTAGACTTCATGGACGAAGAAGAAGACATTGTTGGGCTAGCATCGCCGGATCTCAGACTTGATGATGCCGCACTATTGGTTTGTGACCATGAGGTCCCTGCATAAACCTTGATCAACAAGCGGTGGGGGTGGTTCAACGTCGAAGACGTTCATCTAGTCACTTTCAACGACGACGGTTTTGGAAATCTCGTCCTCCCTAGTCACAAGAAACAGCTACTCTCATCTCTCATTATGTCTCAGAACTTAGAAGAATTTAGTACCGATGACTTCGTCGAGGGTAAAGAAAAAGGTGTTATCATTCTGCTAAACGGTCCTCCTGGCGTTGGGAAAACATTCACTGCAGGCAAGATATAACCCCCCCCCCCCCTCCCCCACACACAACAACCTGAGATCCACCACTGACTACTTGATATAGAGGTGATGGCGGATCACGCTCGCCGCCCACTTCTCACGGCCAATTCAGGCCAATTCATTGGCTCGCCGGCTGAAGTCGAAGTATCTCTAGCTAAACTGCTTCAAAGTGCTACACGGTGGGGAGCTCCAGTGCTATTAGACGAAGCAGATGTTTTTATGCAAGCTCGTAACTTGCAAGATCTGGAGCGCAACGGAATTGTTTCCAGTGAGTAATTATAATATACCCTCGCTTACGGAGGGAGAAGAGACTCAGTACTGATATGGCCAGTGCTGCTGCGCACTCTTGAGTACTTCGAAGGGACACTGTTCTTAACAACCAACCGGGTTGGAACGATTGATAGCGCTTTCATGTCCCGAATTCACCTGGCGCTCTCCTACGAACCCCTATCCGAAGCAGCGAGAAGACAACTCTGGGATACCTGGATAACACGAGCATGTCGTGGACAGCGTCCTATTTGAGTCAAAAAAAAAGCTTCTCGTCCAGTTATCGGTGTTGAATGTCAGTGGACGGGACATCAAAAACATCTCACTGCTAGCTCAAGGATTGGCAAAAACCGGCCAGCGTGATATGGCTTCGGAAGATATCTGGAAGGGAGTTAACGCGATGACACAGTTCCAGGAAGACTTTAGTGTCAGTGTCACTCGTCAAGAGGCTGAAAAGAGATGGGATCCAAAGGTTCCGGACTCGAAGCCGATGCCTTCAAAATCATGGCTTAAGACACTTTGCCAGTGGTGGTGGTCATGGCTATCTGGATACACGGCAACCAACGGACGGCGGGATGTGTTGTCTTATCGCAACTGGATTACGTTTGGACAATTGCGGCAATTGACGGAAGGCACCGAGGTATAGTGCGGCGAGAAGTACTATTGCCTCGTTGCAGAGACTTGCAAACGTATGGGATTCCTGTGCCGCCTGCGTTTGTCGTATTGATGATGCAGCCATATTGTACGTGGAGAGGAATGGGAGGGTAGGTTTGAGGCTATTTGAAAGAAGGCATGGAGCATTCCCGTTGCATTGTCGTGGAGGCCAGGATTTGGACGAGTCAAACTCCCTGTAGGCTTCCATCCTTGGCAGACTTCAACGTGCCCGTGGGAATTGACGTCTAGGAGGTCCCATTCACAGTGTGATGGAAAATGATACAGTTCTCTTTACACGAAAAAGATACCAGGGCGTATCAAAATGCCCGCAAAGTTGCAGCCTTTTCCCTCATAAGGTAGTTAAACGTCCTGACGTAGCAGGACGTAACTCAGCAGCGCGTCATAGAGACACATTCCTTTTCAGCGCAGAAAACAGCTCACAGGCTCCGTGATGTGGATTTGCCAAGAACCGAAATCGCGTTCAGCGACATTACACCCCAAGCAGCATCCAATAACGTCCTCAAAAACCCCAGTCTGAGTGTGCGGGACTGCCGGCCGGGGTAGCATCAATGACCCAGCCAACAGCCGACACTAGCTCCGTTGGGCAGCTCCTAAAGTTCGCGCGGCCTTGGCGATCATGATAAGCTTAAATGCTCCTGCCGCATGCTCTACATCCCCCGAGAGACTGAACGGTGCTGTGGGCTTCTGAGTAACGGGCTTCCTGTTTCTGTCTACTCGTTGTATTGCGTGCCATGACGGCGAAAGCCGTTGGCATAATGAGATGCCTGTTTGGGGCAACGGGTCCTGCCGCCGTCCTGGCTGATCCTCCACATCCCGCAAGCGATGGGCGGGAGACCGTAGATGCTTCGCTTCTGCTTGGGGTCGCGATGAGTTTATTTAAAGGGGGCTTCTCTCCGGACTCTTGGCCAGAGAGGTTCTCTTGCTCTTTTCGTTGCACCTGCACCATTCATCAACGGACGTCGCTCATCAACGGGACAATCTGAACGATGCATCTCAACGCTGCTCTCGCGATCCTTGCGGCCTCCAGGGTTGCCCTGGCTGCGCCTGCCACTGAGGAGACTCAAGTTGACCCTGCGCTCCGTCTGATCAAGACGTCCGAGGCCGACGCCGGCACCTGGGTCACGGAGGATCAGAAAATTGAGGAATATGTCAACAAGCACATTGGCTTCATTGACATCACCGACATTGTCGTATGTCTGGACTGTTTCTCATCGATTTATGGATGAAGCTAACCCATCAAAGGACGATGAGGTCTTGGCGGTCCTGTCCACCCCGCCGGAGGAGGTTCTTGAGGCCAGAGTGACATACCCCACCACTCTGTCCCACGTCACCGAGGCAAACACCCTCATCGCGTCGGTCTCCAACACCAACCCCCAAACCTGGTTGAAGACTTTGACCGAGTAAGTCACTCATGAGCCCTAATCCAATCAGCGAGTGCGTGCTGATAATTTCTAGCTTCTACAACCGCTACTACCGCTCCACCTACGGTACCCAAGCCGCCACCTGGTTGTTCAACCAGGTCAAGACTGTTGCTGCTGCCAACTCGGCCATCACTGTCACTCAGTTCACCCACTCCTTCAGCCAGCCGTCCATCATCGTCAAGATTCCCGGAACCAGCTCTGACCTCGGTATGTTCAACTGCCCATCTCTATCTCAGCCTCTCATGTGCTAACCGTGATCACCAGTCATTGTTGGTGCCCACTTCGACTCCACCGGAGGATCCTCCACTGCCCGTGGACCCGGTGCTGACGACAACGGCTCAGGTGTCGTTGTCATCCTTGAGGCTCTCCGCGTCCTCGCCAACGCCGGCTTCAAGCCCAAGAACACCCTCGAGTTCCACTTCTACGCCGGTGAGGAGGGTGGCCTTCTCGGCTCCCAAGCTGTCTTCGCCAATTACAAGTCCGCCGGAAAGACGGTGCTTGCCTTCGTCAACCAGGATATGGCCGGTTACTCTCCTTCTGGCAAGCTCTCGGTCTACAACGACTACGGTAAGCTCATCACTTATGGATGACATGCACGCATGTAGTAGCATCGCTGACTCCTGATAGTTGATTCTGCTCTTACCACCTACGTTCGTCTCATTGGAACTCAGTACACCGGTAGCGCGCCTACCAGCGACGTCTGCGGATACGGGTGCTCCGACCACGCCAGCGCCCGCTCCAACGGCTTCCGTAAGTTGACGCCAATATTTTGGGAAGTGTGAAACTTGATGGCTAATTTGATCCGACAGCTGCCGCCTACGTCTGTGATGAGCCCATCGACACCTCCACCCCCTACATCCACAGCCCCAACGACGTAAGTTGCCGGCACTCCCACTTAGCAATCGATCAAATGCTGACTTGACATGCAACAGAGCTACGACACTATCCAGTGGTCTGCCGTCCTCCGCCACTCCAAGTTCACCGTTGGTTTCTTGGTTGAGGCTTCTTACTTGTAATTTGTGTAAATATCTAAACAAGCGCAGGGTGATTTCATGTATATACATCCCGACTTGTGTGTCAATATATTACATTCAAGAATGCACATAAGCCACAGGCTTTCAAACTAGTGGAACGCTAAAAGTTATTGTCTTCTTTGTGAACCCTATAGTGTCCGCGCAAAACTGCCTTACTGGGAAGAGTTTCCCGAGGAAACCCAACGAACACTACTACCCCAACCCATCTCCGCCCATCGGACGTGGAGACATGCAGACTCTTTCTGAAAGAGATTCTAGATCGACTCCATCAACCTGGGGCGAACACTTGATAAGCCTAGGGCGTGGGACCCCACTTTCTGCCACATACGGTGGTTTCTATGAGACGCAAGGTTTGCAAGGCGTGGTTGACATGGTTGAATGACTCTTACTAGGTGCATACGCCGTCTTCGGCAGGCATCCCGGCCAGACGGCCTTGGATCCCGAGATACGACTAAAGAGGAGAAAACTTCGTGCACCGAACTGAACGTTCTCTCTGGCACATATCACGTAGTTACCGTCAAATTCCGGAATCGTTCTCGAAAGCCACAATGGGCGCCTCAGAGGAGCGAGATAGAGTGGCTGTGACCGAATCCCACGATGCGCCGGGCGCTATTGAGCTGGGGGCGATGCGCAGTCCGACGAGTTCTCGCCATCACGACCCCGAATCTAGCCCATTGGCCTGGCTATGTGTTTTAGGATCATTTATGTTTCTTTATCCATCATACGGTAAGCGTCTTGATGATACCTTCCTTTCTCTGAGACTATGCTTATGATTCAATATAGGGTTCATGCAATCTGTTGGAACTGTTCAGTCCTATCTCCAGCTACACCAGCTGAGTGAGTACTCCACTCGCGATCTAGGTTGGATCAGCGGAATCTTCACCTCGCTTGCACTGTTCCTTGGAATCCAAGCCGGGCCATTGATGGATGCCTATGGGACGAAGTGGCTGGCTCCCATCTCCGTGGCACTCTATGTGCCCGTGTTCTTCATCATGGGTGAATGCACGCAATACTGGCACTTCATTCTTTGCTTGGGAGTACTGGGCGGCATCGGCGGTGCCCTCACATCAACAGTCGCTGTGGCAGTTATTGGAAAGCTCTTTAACCGCCGCAAGGGGCTTGCCATGGGAGTCGCCCTGTCCGGATCCTCGTTCGGGGGTGTGACCATCTCGATGATGCTTCGGTCCATCCTGCCTCGACTGGGCTGGCAGTGGTCCATGAGGATCATGGGATTCCTAGTCCTTGGTATCATGGTTCTGGGCGTCATTTGTTTCCTCCCCTACCCTCGCCTGTCCACTCCTGTCTCTGGAGCACCCGTCGGGAGAGTCGGAGCCCTGCTCAATTTCTCCGCCTTCCGCTCCCCTCCATTCGGCTTTATGGCCGGTGGTCTCTTCATGCTGGAATTTGTTCTCTTTGGAATTACCGGCCTATTGCCTACTTTTGCCATTGCTGCAGGCTTCCCTTCGAACATTGGGTTCTCCCTCGTGGCCATTCTGAACGGTACTTCATGTTTCGGTCGGATCATGACCGGCGTAATCGGCGATAGAATTGGCCACCTCAACATCCTCCTCATCATGATAGGTATTACGATTGTGTTTACCGGGGTCGTTTTCGTGCCTTTTGGAACCAAGCATATCGGTGCTTTGTATGCCTTTGCCGCGCTTTGGGGCTACGGATCGGGATCCTTTCTTTCGAGCACACCAGGTAAGAAATCTCCATGATCTCTATATTGTTGGATGAAACTGCTGACACAGCTTAGTTTGTTTAGGAAAGACTTGCGAGCCAAAGGATTACGGGAGGTACTTGGGTAAGTGATGCTCTTCCATCGCTATCGCCTTCTTTGTTGACTAACGATATGACTTCAAGGCACCATGAACTTTGTAGTCAGTTTCTCGTTGCTAGTAACCGTCCCCATCGGTGGACAGATGCTGGAGAGTATGGGCGGAACAGCGCTCTCGGGATTTTATCTTGCTATCCTCTTCTTGGGCGGTGTTTGCTATTTTGCTGCCCGCTCCCTTCTTCTAGGCGGTTGGCTTACGCTGAGAGCCAGTATTTGAGCACATTTGATATAGAATAACTGGAATAAAGAGGTGGCCTTAACTATGACTAGTTCAAGATACTTAACGGATTTATCAATGAGGTAGAACCTGGAAAGCCGAGGAGTCAGGATTTATGCGGCTGACATTGTCAGAAGGGGCTTTTTCCTAATGTACCTAAGGGGTGGGATCGGCGGGCAAGGAAGGCCTGACGGAGTTCAATTTGTGTAACGAACTTAGAATGCTTATGGTTAAATAGTAATTTAACAGATATGAAAAATACACCTGCCCACTAGTCTTCCTAATAATATGATCGAATTTGTGTTTTAGGCGGCACAGGTTCACCATGAACGGCCAGACGAGGTGCTAGATGGTCCACCCGAAGGGCGTAGAAGACATCTCGACCCGGTGCAGGACAGACAGGCCGGACCGGTATTATGAGTGAAGAACTGGGTTGACGACCGGAGAACCGGCTATTGTCTCGACAATTCCTTACCTTTGCGGAACGGCACCGGAAGAAGTTCTCCACTTTTGAGGCTCTAACTACCCTTCGGGGACAGCGATGCACGCCGTCCGGTGCGGGGGTGCACTATCGTTCCGAATGGCCGGCTTATCAACCCCGAGATAGTCACATGTGCCGCTTTCGGCGCCATTCGGAAGTTAAATCGCCGGCAATTACCTCAGACAACCTATTTAAAGCCTCTCTACCTCTCATTCAATGTACCGATAGCCAAACTTTACTCCTGTTCAGTGCCATTCGTCAGGTTACCTCCTTGTTACTCCTAGTGGTGAAGAATAAACATGGGAGACGCCAACAAGAAGGGGAAACCCCATCCACTTGATCCTCTACGACCAGAAGAAATAAGCCAGGTGAGTGATCTTCAAGAGATTAATACTATAGGAGCTACGTATGCAATATGATTGTTGACATAATGCAGGCCGCCGGAATCGTCCGTGAGTCGAACCACGGCAAGAAGATATTCTACCGAGCAATCTCTCTCGTTGAGCCACCAAAGAAAGATCTGGTCAAGTTCCTCGACAGCGAGCATGGCGGTAATAGAGATGCCGTCCACCCGGAAAGACAGGCCAGAGTGCAGGCTTACGTCGCCAAAACTTTGCACGAGATGATTGTCAACTTGGACACTGCGAGCGTCGCTTCTACCACCCCGCTACCAGGTCGCCATTCCTTCATCGACACTGACTTTATGGCACAAGTTGCTGCGGCTTGCCTGGAAGATGAGAACATTCAACGGGAGATCAGTGCCCTCAAACTACCAGAAGGCGCTACCGTCGTCGTTGAGCCATGGGCATATGCTACCGACGGCATGAAGGATATGAAAGACCGCTGGACAATGGTGAGATTACAACATATTCCGCGCATATACAATATTGAACTAAAGACTTTAGGCATGGTTTTATATGCGACTCTCTGACAACCCCGACGCGAATTACTATGCCTACCCGTTGGACATATGTGCGGAGGTATCCAACTCCCTCGATGTGGTCAAAATCTACCGTCTGCCTTCTGGAGAGCACGATAAGCTCAGTGACGAGGGCAAGGAATTTGATCGCCGCAAAATCCATTCCAACAGCGAGTATCATCCAGATTTCGTACAAGAGCGCAGGACAACGACAAAGCCGTACCACGTCTCCCAGCCCGAGGGTCCGTCGTTCAGTATCGAGGAAAACCATGTTTCTTGGGAAAAGTGGACATTGAGAGTCGGCTTCAACTATAGAGAGGGCATGACTCTTCACGACATCCGTTTCGAGGGCCGCAGTCTATTTCATCGTCTGTCTCTAGCCGAGATGTTCGTGCCTTACGGAGATCCTCGATGCCCCTACCCTCGGAAAGCCGCTTTTGATTTGGGAAACGACGGCGCAGGAATCAACGCCAATAATCTCAAGTTGGGCTGCGATTGTCTCGGGCATATCAAGTACTTTGACGGCTGGCTCAGCACCTCATCAGGAGAACCTTTGAAGATGCCAAACGTTATTTGCTGTCACGAAATCGATGATGGTATCCTTTGGAAGCATACAAACTTCCGGACGGGGAACGCTGTGGTCACGAGATCTAGAGTTCTGGTACTGCAGACAATCATCACGGTCAGCAACTACGAGTACATCTTCCTCTTCTATTTTCAGCAGGATGGGTCCATCTTCTACGAAGTCCGTGCCACGGGCATCATGTCGACAGCACCAATTGACCTTGACACCAAGGTTCCATGGGGGACCATTGTCGCCCCAGGTGTGTTGGCGCCGTATCACCAACACATCTTCTGCTTGAGGATGGACGCTGCTATCGATGGGCCTCAAAACTCCTTGGTTGTCGAAGAGTCTCACCCGATTCCCTTCAGTGGAGACACAGACACGTATAACCCTTTTGGTGTAGGATACACCACAACGTCACAGGTCATTGAGAAAGAGGCAGGCTTGGATCTCGATTTCAACACGAACAAAACTTTCAAGATTGTCAATGAGAATGTCACCAATTCAACTACAGGAACTTCTGTCGGCTTCAAGCTTCTACCCCACTACAGCCAGCTTCTCCTCGCCCAGCCAAACTCATGGCACGGCAAGCGTGCAAGGTACACATCTCACGCTGTCTGGGTGACACGACATCACGACGACGAATTCTTCCCGGCCGGGAGGTTCACCATGCAGTCAACCGGAGACGATGGCATCGGATCCTGGATAGAGCAACGGAAGGACGGTGACTCGTCTTCGGTGCGCAACGAGGATATCGTAGTCTGGCACACGTTTGGGTCTACGCATAACCCTCGTATCGAAGACTGGCCGGTGATGCCGTGCGAGAAAATGATGGTAGGGCTGAAACCGGTCAACTTCTTCCAGGGTAACCCTGCTCTTGATGTGCAGATTTCAACACAGGAAAAGAATCGTAGTGTGCTGGTGCACGGTGCTGGTTGTGAGACTTAGAGTTCAATATTAAAGTACGGAAGGGCTTTTCTCGCTGACGCCAATGGTTAAAATAACGGCAATTCAAGTAACAGAGACCAAAGTCAAAAGGCCTCGTCAGCCTATAAATTAGTTCAGCCACGTCCCAGAGAGCTTTTGGAATGTGAACACCCGCGGTTGTTAAGATTCAGATCATGTCTTTAAGATTCTTTCTAGGAAAACCTCAGTAGCAAAGACTGCTCCAAATTGTATCGCGAGTCGCGCAGCAACCGGCTTTTTGCATTGCGCGCCTGGCGTCACGCGTGTGCGAGTACCATAGCGTTGCCAAGGAGTTCCCAACCGCCGTATTAAGTACTTCTTTACTGGTGGACATACCCACTAGAATCCCATTCTTTAGACTTTTGAAGTCGTCTCTACTTTTCACGTTGAGTAGTTCCTGAGTCAGTTTTCGCGGAATCACTTGCCCGATGAGGTGCCATCATTACGAATCATGGTACCGTTGGATCTGAAACAACAGGGAATCTGAGGCACTTGGTGGAGAACACGAGCTTGATAGTATTTAAGACATGAAGAAGATGAATTAGCTAATATGTGGTACGGCTGTCTTTTTACCTACAACCTGAAGATCTGAATCTCGGGGGTTCTGTCCGAAAGTAAATCGTCCATCCCGTCGCAAGTGTCAGATGTATTTTTGATGAAGACCAGGGTCATGCCGACTACCTTAGTAAGAAAATAGGTACTGTTTGATATGGTTCGGTAGATGATAGTCTGAGGAAAACTATTTCACGCCATCAATTTGATAAGTCATTCAGTCTCCCCAAGGCGCGTATACCCGAGCCTGCTGTATGACTGTCCAGCTTGCATTTTCCAATAGACAGATAACAACGTAAGTAAGATAGAATGAGAGAGTTTGAAACATAGAGCCGGAGACTCCTCTAGTGGGACTCGGTTTGGTGAGTTATGTCTACGCCATCATCGAATTCACCAGGCCGAACATGTCCTCGAGCAATTCGCCCGTTGTGGCTTCGTATCCAGGGTACTATTATTTCGTCACAAGCTATTCCAACAGTCCGGAATTTGCGTCCAAACTTAGGGTCATCAACTAGGTCGATAGGTTGTCGGACGAACCCGATCGTCGGATGTGGGGGTTGAGCGAGCCCGGCTGTCTGTCTCAGACCATCCCAGTGAACGGCATCTCCAGACGACCCCACGTTGACTGGCCGCAGTTGCTTCAGATGGCCAGGCTCAACAAGGATCGTCCTGCTATTTCAGTTACATCTTGAGCAGATCCCGGTTCCCCAGTGGCACCAATGTTGGCATTGTGGGAACGCAATATCAAGAACATGACACAGGCGTTCAAGGTCGGCTCAAGTTATAAATGGTTTTGAACCCCCCATCCTACGGCCAATTTCAAGATACCCTCTTTATAGCATCACTCACTTCCAATACGCTTTGAAAAATATGCAGTTATCTTTCTTCTACACGGCTGTCCTTCTGGCTGCTGGCGTCGCCGCCCAGTCCTGTTCGTCGACTATCACATACTGCACTGGAGGCGCCTGCTTGTGCTTTGCCGATGGTATCACCGAATCCCTGAACGAAATGTGTAAAGGCAAGGGATTCGAACGCTCTTTGGGACCGTCAAAGACTACGACTGAGGCCGTAAGTTTGATTCTCTCTTCTCGTCTTGACTAGCTGTCCTAATGACTTGTGTTTAGGGCGAGCGATGCGACACCCAGTGCTGCACTGGCTAAGCCGACCACTGTTAAGACGACTGGAGATTTACAGGCAGCATTGTAATTTTAGCGTGTTGCGTCAAAAGATATAAGCAATCATCAGCTTTTTACCAATGCCTAATGCCATGATTCAATTGTCACATGTCCCAGTCGTTTTCCTAGATAAAGGCCCATTCGCTCGCTCACGCTACCTAGTTTGTTGAACAATACTTGAGCAGCTGATGAGCCATCGAGCTATTCTATGCGTACTAGCCATGTTTCGTCAGAATGCGCAATCCTCCTGCGGTGCTAGCCCAATCACCCAGCACAAATTGGCAAAGTTCGTGTTCTCCAGCTGCCTACATTATGATTCTCCAAGCTTCCGTATCATTAACA